CTTTTTTCATTAGAGCGTTCACAAGATTCAACAAAGTGAAACACGGGCCATAATTAGGGTTTCACACTGCGTAGCTTGTGTGAAACACTATTGTTTTTGTTAAAATTATTATTCTTATTATTATTATTATTCTTCTTTTGTTTTGAGTAGATCTCAGCAACTGATTGTCGGATCGTTACGATTTCTTCAGTTTTACTGAAAAAGTGGGTGTGACTTAGAGGATAAAGCTATTTTGAACGTTCTGCGACAATGCGAAATGTCCGAAATCACCGAAGCTATCGTTTTTAGAAATATTGCAGTAATTTTAACAATAATCATTGGATTTTAACTTTCGATGCATTTTGGCATAGCCGGAGACGGGGCACATAGCTACGCTACTTTTGATTTTTGATTTTCGGCAAATCTTCGCAGATATTAGGCGCTAAATTTAGAAAATTTAAATTTTTACAAAAAACTTTTTTATTTATGAATATTTTTTAGTCGTGTTTTACACAAATATAACGAGTCCTCTGACTTGGGCAAAAATGTGAAAAATTTTTGTCTCGGTAATTTTCCTTGGCCCCAATTGGCTAATTCAGTTTTTCAGTCCTAGATTAATTATTTATTGTTCGATTTGTATAAAACAAAGTTCATATGCTCCGTTGTCTCAATTGTCATTTTTTTTGTTACCAATAGTGTTATCTGTCGGCACCGGAAGTGGCGTAAATTGACAAAAAACTACAATTTTGACAGTTAGGTACCATTTTTCGAAAGCAAATATTATTTTTTTCAAATCTGGTATAACTGAAATTGTGCGCCCTTTAAAGGCGCACAAAATGTTGGAACCAGTTTTTTTAATTTCGATTCCGTTTTCGGGCTATTTCGATTAAAAGGTGAAAAAAGGTGTAAAATTAAGCTATTTACAACCCATCCAGCGTTTTCATATTTTAAAATATTACTTCGTAACTTTCATAAACTCGTAGCAATAATCTATACGGAGAGAATGTATGTGAAAATTAATTTGTAATATGCGCAGTTGCCGAGAAATGGGCAATTTTGCATGAGTCACTTTTTACGCTAGTTTGCCTGTAAAAGAGTCAATTATTATTCGATTTTCATAAAAGTGACACCATTTGATGTGTAATGTCAATTTTAACTAGGTCAAACCAATTTAACATTTTCAATATCACCGGAAATGACGTAATTTGGGCAAAAATTGTATTTATAGCCTTCGAAACCAGTAATTTATTCAAATGAGTCATATTTGTTATTTGTTTAAAATTTTGATATTTGATTCAAATGAACTAATACAATGAACCCTTACGATCATATAGATATCACAAAATGGTTTCTAACTTGTTCAGTTGCGGAGAAATAGGCAATTTTCAACAGGTCACTTTTTAAGGTTTTTTGTCAATAAAAGTGTCAATTATTATTCGATTTTCATGAAATTTTCATTGTGTGATACCTAATGCCATTTACGATTTCATACAAGTAATTTAAGATTTTCATTATCACCGGAAGTAACGTCATTTTGGCAAAAACTGTATTTTTAGCCTTCAAAACAGATATTTTATTCAAATGAATCAGATTTGTAATGTTTTTAAAATTATGATATTTGATTCCAATCAACAAATAGAATGAACTCATTCGATCATACAGATACCTCAAAATGGTATCTAACTTGTACGGTTGCAGAGAAATAGGCGATTTTCTACAAGTCATTTTTCAAGGTTTTTGGTCTATAAAGGTGGCAACTATTATAGGATTTACATAAAATTTTCACCATGTGATGATGCTATTTCTGATTTCATAAACCAATTTAACATTTTCATTATCACCGGAAGTAATGTAATTTTGGTACCGGAAGTGACATAAGTTCAAGGGTAACGTGGCACCGGTGAAACCCGTCATTACTGCTTCGCAGTTCTAGTTCTAGATGTAATTAACAAAAATTGCTGAAATTCATTAGGCTTCTTTGTTTTACTAACTTAAATGATGCATATAAATTTCATACAGATCAGATGATAACTTTTGTCGTTCACAAGGTGCAACAAAGTGAAACAAGGGCCATAACTCTAGAAGAAATTAACAGAAGTTATTGAAATTAAATAGGCTTCTTCATCTTACTAATGCAAACAACATATATCAATTTTAAAACAATCAGATGATAAATGTAGTCTGTAGAGTGTTCACAAGAAATTGTGGACGGACGGAAGGACAGACAGGGGCGACGGCAATATACGACCACATTTTCTGCTATTCAGTGTACGGTAGGCCTATACTGTTTGTCATAACCAGCAATGCAAATATCGTTAATATTTTTAGCTATTTAAGTTAGTAAAAAGAACAATCCTATTGAATTTCAGAAATTTCCGTTTATTACGTCTAGAATTATGGCTCTTTTCACTTTATTGAACCTTGTGAACGCTCCAGTGCCGAAAGTTATCATCAGATCTTTGTGAAATTTATATGCATTATTTAAATTGGTGAAACCACAAAGCCTATTGACTTTCAGCAATTTACAATAATTACTTCTAAAGTTATGGCCCTTGTTTCACTTTGTTAAACCTTGTTAATGCTTGATTGATGAAAGTTATCATCTGATATGTATGAAATTTATATGCATCGGCGACAAATCTCCGCCGTGACAATATACATCTACTTTAAATGTCGCCCAATTCATTTCGGTGGAAGCGGATATTGAATAAAGCCATTTCACACACGTGTACATTACATGCGCATGTCATATATTTATACAATGTCCACAATGTCGGACTGCAGTTATTTATATATTTGATCTTTTTTGTGGGTTTAATTTGTTTACAAATTATCGTGCATACCACTGAACTATAAATGCTCGTATCTTAAAATTGATCACACGCAGTACCGTCATTTCCCGATATCATAACCAACCCCAATTTGATTATCCGTTAAGCTCCCCGTGGAGTGGATCGAGTGCTCTATGAATGATTGATTTAGATTAACTGAAGCTGCAAGCTCATCGTATGACGTATATAATTTAAAGTTTGGATTTTATAGCAGCCAATAATTGATGGATTACATCTAAGTTATAGATGAAGATGTAATGATACTTGTAAAAAAATTGTAAGTTGTCTTTGTTGCATACATTTTGGCCGACGTTATATGCATGTAAAGTGCGTTAGAAAAAAATCCTAACCGATACAGAATGCCGTTAAATATTTTCCCGAGATTACCAAACTCATTTTGTTGTTATTCAAACCGGCCTGTACATTATACATGTACACGTTTTCACGGCAGCATTACTATATTACAACTCCTTCAATATAAACATTTCGTTAAAATCTGAACAACGCATGTGAAATTGGATGTTCGGCAACAGAATTGAATACCTGGCGTAATTGGACACCTTGACTAATTTTAATCGCAACTCGGGAAATTGAACGGTCCAACTAATTATTGAACAGTCGTGAAAATTAAGCGGGACGCTTATAATTACACACGTGTCAACAAACTAAACACTAGTTAATTAACGCTTGGTAATCAAAATTGCACGTTGAGATTTAAGTTGTATACAAGGACAAATTGAATGCTATTAGGCCAAATTCAATGATATTTATGAATAATTCTACATAGATTAGATAATAATGCTATTTACCCAAGATTCCACAGTACCAGTCGTATAGTGATGGCTCTTGATTGTTCGAAAAATCGCATTTTTAGCTTGCGTATTCTCTAGAGGTCACAAATTTTTTTTTCTGATTTTAAGAAACGTTTAAATATATCACCAGTCCACCATAATGAAGGTTGAATAGGAATTTCAGGAAAATCGAAATGAAACTACCCAACAAAATGGCTGCTCTTTATATGCAAATTGTGTAAAAGTATGGAATACAAAGGTTGTGGACCCTCTAGAGGTCACAATTTTTATCCGATTTTGATGAAACTTAAAACATATCTTCATATCCCAAAGATCTCATTCTATTTTGATATTTGCACATTTCAGACCATAGCGTTATTATCTAATCTATGTAGAATTATTCATAAATATCATTGAATTTGGCCTAATAGCATTCAATTTGTCCTTGTATACAACATAAATCTCAACGTGCAATTTTGATTACCAAGCGTTAATTAACTAGTGTTTAGTTTGTTGACACGTGTGTAATTATAAACGTCCCGCTTAATTTTCACGACTGTTCAATAATTAGTTGGACCGTTCAATTTCCCAAGTTGCGATTAAAATTAGTCAAGGTGTCCAATTACGCCAGGTATTCAATTCTGTTGCCGAACATCCAATTTCACATGCGTTGTTCAGATTTTAACGAAATGTTTATATTGAAGGAGTTGTAATATAGTAATGCTGCCGTGAAAACATGTACATGTATAATGTACAGGCCGGTTTGAATAACAACAAAATGAGTTCGGTAATCTCGGGAAAATATTTAATGGCATTCTGTATCGGTTAGGATTTTTTTCTAACGCACTTTACATGCATATAACGTCGGCCAAAATGTATGCAACAAAGACAACTTACAATTTTTTTACAAGTATCATTACATCTTCGTCTATAACTTAGATGTAATCCATCAATTATTGGCTGCTATAAAATCCAAACTTTAAATTATATACGTCATACGATGAGCTTGCAGCTTCAGTTAATCTAAATCAATCATTCATAGAGCACTCGATCCACTCCACGGGGAGCTTTTTTTTTAACTATAGACTTTGGTGTTGACACGGGAAAAGCCTGGATTTGCTTAACATTATGTATTAGGCGCATCCCTCTATAAAATAAAATATTTGGTAAAAAAAAGTGTGCCTAATACACCGAAGAATAGGGTATATGCATAAATGGAAAGACCTTTCTTGTCTTAAATAATTGCTGCTCAAAATAATCAAATTGCTACAAATGCAGTGCTAATAAAAGAATTGCTACATAATTTAAAAATTGCTACTCAGAATAAAATAATTGAGCAAAAAGACTGCTACATGTTTGTAAGACATATATTGTATATTTGTTTTAATTTATATTATAGGTTCCAGCAACAGAATCTTGTACTAAGGCTTTAATGAGAATGACGTACTGCCCTCATTGTCGTGGATTAACTCTTACCAAACCTTGTAGCAATTATTGTTTGAATACTATGAAAGGTTGCCTTGCCTATCAGGCAACATTAAATTCCGCCTGGAATGAATATATTGGTAAGTTTCCTTTTTTTGAAAATCTTAAAGATTTTTATACTCCCACATTTTCATGTGAATCCAAATAAATATAAAGAGAGAGGAATCCAAAACCATTTGATTAACATAAACTTAGATGGGATCCAAGTCATAATAAACTTGATACGGTGACACCAGTAGTAGGAGTGGTTATAAACAAAGTCATGGGTATCACAAAACCAGCTATTATAGCATTTAACGTTTCATAAGTGTAAAAACTTACTTCTTCAGAGAATACAACTACACAAATGATACATTTGAAGTTCGAGGTTAGTCATAGTAACTAGTGATGTCATAATGTTAAGGGACAATATTGTTGTCAGTCATTATCACATATGTGATAGAACTAATTAAACACGTTCCAAATATAATCTTAACACAGAGATCATTGCTACGATAGCTGAGTAATACAGGTTCCTTGAATCGGAAGTGACGAACGCCAAAGGAAAACACGAGTCATACCTCGATATAACTAACTGATTTGACAGGGTCGTGTTTGATTAAGAATTGATATTAATAATAATATTTCTTGTACAACTTAGCTTTAATTGTTTCGCTGTAGGCCTACTGTCACCGCGGTCTGTCAGGACCTTATAATTATCTTTCTATGGTTGAATTAATTATGGGTTACCTTAACACCGATATAACATCTTAGAGCATAGTCCTCTTAACGAGTATGCTAATAAGAATGTAAATGGTAATCAGATATGGGATTTGCGCCCGTATATTCCAGACATGTCTGATGCTATTTTCCAAATGTCCTAAATTGTCCGACTAGGAATATGCCCAATCGGACATCAAGACATGGTGAATAATATTCAAAATTTCAAAATTAATATAGTGTGCTGAGTGTATAACTACCACTCAACCCAATTATTGTTGATAATAGGCTGGATTGATTAGGTAATTAAGTGATCAACATATTTATCGTGTTATACCGTCTATACACCTACCTTGATTAACTACTTCATCTGCTTTGATTGACTGACTTAATCCTTTGTCGGACAATTCATCAATCTAATCTTAAAACAGTAGTCATTGCTTCTCCTTTGTCGGACTCTTCATCAATCCAATAAGAGGGATTATCATTTTTATACGCCCACATAGAAATGTGGACGTATATTGCCGTCGCCCCCGTCCATCTGTCCATCCTCCACAATTTTTTGTGAATGCTCATCCAGTTGTTTTAAAATTGATATATGTTGTTTGCATTAGTGAGATGAAGAAGCATATTTGATTTCGATTATCATTTTTATACGCCCACATAGAAATGAGGACGTATATTGCCGTCGCCCCTGTCCGTCTGTCCATTGTCCACAATTTCTTGTGAATGATCTAACGCCAAAAGTTATCAACCAGTTGTTTTAAAATTGATATATGTTGTTTGCATTAGTGAGATGAAGAAGCATATTTAATTTCAATAATTTCTGTTTATTACGTCTAGAGTTATGGCCCTTGTTTCACTTTGTTGAACCTTGTGAACGCTCTAATGCCGGAAGTTAACATCTGATCTTTGAAATTTATATTTGTGAAACGAAAAAGCCTGTCGAATTTCAACAATTTCTGTAGATTACTTCCAGTGTTATGGCCCTTATTTTAGTTTTTAGAACCTTGTGAACCCGCAAACGATGAAAATTCTAATGTCATCTGTATGAAATTGTCTATTAAATGCCCCTAATTACCTACAAAAGAATAAATATGTGACAACCCTTGTCGACCGCACGGACGATTTAGCTACTGTGGGTGTATGTTTTGTTGCCTAGCAACCTATCCTTTCTTTTACGCTGTTATTATTGTGATACTTTTAATGTGTGCCAATTTATTGTTTTTATACCCCCACATTGAAATGTGGTCATATATTGTCGTCGCGTCCGTCCGTCCATCCGTCGTGGTCTGGCGTCCACAATTGCTTGTGGACCCTCTAGAGACTAAAGTTAATATCCGATTGACTTTAAATTTATACACAGTGTTTAAGGTCATGAGACAAAGAAGCCTAATGATTTTCAGCGATTTCCGATAATTACTGCCAGAGTTATGGCCCTTGATCTCTTTGGAAAATCTTGTGGATGCTCTACAGGCTAAAGTTAATATCCGATTGACTTTAAATTTATACACAGTGTTTAAGGTCATGAGACGAAGAAGCCTATTGATTTTCAGCGATTTTCGATAATTACTGCCAGAGTTATGGCCCTTGATCACTTCAAAAAATCTTGTGGACGCTCTAGAGGCTAAAGTTAATATCGATTGACTTTAAATTTATACACAGTGTTTTAGGTCATGGGACGAAGAAGCCTATTGATTTTCAGCGATTTCCGATAATTACTGCCAGAGTTGTGGCCCTTGATCACTTCAAAAACTCTTGTGGACGCTCTATAGGCCAAAGTTAATATCCGATTGACTTTAAATTTATACACAGTGTTTAAGGTCATGAGACGAAGAAGTCTATTGATTTTCAGCGATTTCAGATAATTACTGCCAGAGTTATGGCCCTTGATCACTAAAGTTAATATCCGATTGACTTTAAATTTATACACAGTGTTTAAGGTCATGAGACGAAGAGGCCTATTAATTTTCAGTGATTACGATAATTACTGCCAGAGTTATGGCCCTTGATCACTTTGAAAAATCTTGTGATGCTCTAGAGGCTAAAGTTATCATCCGATTGATACACAGAGTTTAAGATCTTGAGACGAACAAGTATATTGATTTTCAATGAATTTTTATGACTTGACCAGCTAAATCCATAATATTAAAAGTTTCGTATACTAAACGTTAATATGGGGCAGAACTTTATAAAAACCAAACAAATTCTGATGGTTTTCTGATAATTACTTCAGATATCATCTTGGCTATCACTCTCTATTGCACTAATTTCACCATCTTTTGATTTCTTGGCCTCTTCTATTAAATGTCTTTCCCAGTCATCGTCAAATTCTTCACAAACCGGTAAGTCTCTGTCCATTTTTTCACAACGTCGTCATCTACGCTACCACTTTCACTGCACAGCTTCAAAAATGAAATGTTGTGTCTTTCTCTAAATCTGCAGAGCCAGCAATTCGATGCTTTGAATTCAGATTCTGGAATGTTTAGTTCTTTGGTGAATAGCAAAGCTTTTTCACGAAGCATAGGACCGGAGATCGACACATCTTTGCCACGCACACGCTGAAACCACGCCCCACATCAGAGTGTTTAAGAGTTTATCCGCGAGAAGACCATGCAAAAATCGCAAAAAGTGCTAAGATGGGGGGTCAAAAGTTTTTGATCAAACTTATGGTATGACACCCCCTAGGGGCAAGAGGTAACATGCTGAAGTGGTTACAGTCTGGTGTAGCTCTAAAGGACTGTACAGGAATTATTCATTTTATGGGTAAAATTGCGGTTTTCACATGTGTATTTATCACCCTTTTTAAGCACAGACTGCATTCTATGGTGTAATAGCAACCTTTTAATTTTGACCCTGCCTGATAAAGCGGGCGGTCAACTTCCACCCCAGGACTAATATGAAAAAAAAAAATCAGTACATTCTAATTTTGTGTGGACTTGTTTTAGGGTACCATATTCACATTGTCCTTATAGTGCAGAAAAAGATACACTGTAACTTTTTCTTTCATGGTCACAAGTAGAATTTCTTTGGATGGTTTTGAAGTGCTAGGCACATAGTATCCATAGGTGTAAAAATAATGACCGGAATGCAACATACTTAAAATATACAGCTTATTGAAAAGTGCTAAAATAAGCTTTTGTGATACATTTTTTTTGCAAATTTAATTAGAGAAATAAAAAATTTGACTTTTATACGTTTTTATCATATCCATAGCCATTATTTGTACCATGTTGCTCTCTATATAAGTGTGTATTTGTATTTATTGTATATTTGGTATTGTCGTATTGTCCCTTTAACATATTTGTTGTATTGTCTCTTTAAGATTTCATTTTCAAACAGGTTACCGAAAATGGCTACAAAATGTTTAATTTCAGAGCATATTTCCACTATTCATTTTGGGACACATCCACTGATTTCTACAATACAGAAATGTGGAAGCTTAAATATTAACGGCAACGAAGCCTTGCGTCGAAGTGGGTGACATTGAACAGTGTAGTATGGTAGCTACAGCTCTCGGGCACCGTCAGCTGCACCTTCAGGGCCGGATTTAGAATAAGAGAGGCCCTAGGCAAACCCCCTGAACAGGGCCCACGACATGGACCTTGGGGCCCTGGGACAAGCAACTCGGTGAGAGGGTGGGTCGGAAGAAGTCATGCGGTTGGTGGTTCGAATCTCACTTTTAGGTGAATTTTTAATTTTCGTTGGATTATTTTATTTAAAATAATGTCTATTTGAGAGTAATGGATATGTTTGTTGAGATTGAGCATGTCGATACTCCAGTGGAAGCTCGTGGACAACTGCGGAAGCCAATTCCCGTCAACGCCAGATGAGCCATGAATGATTACAGGCCTTTGAAAGTATTTTTTTCAAGATATTTTTATAAAACAGATACTAATGTATTTTAGGGCTGGTAGTAAACACCATATGAATGAAAAGAAAAACAAATTGTTAGGTTTTTTTTTTTTTATCTACTACGGTTAATTATCTCCAAAATAGGCAAATTACAGATTAATTTCATGGGTTATTGTTTCCTTTACCTATTTTTTGTCAAGTCGTTTCCGGTAATTTTTATTTTTTGTATCAAATGTTGGGAGGTTGCTTTTTCACGTGAGCATAAATTTTTTAAACCCACCCCATGAAAGAAGTAGCTATAGGGCGTCAAACTTTGGGTGACGAAAAATGGGGAATTTAGACAGGCGTTGATATCCAGTCCGTATACAGATCTCGTTCGCCAGAATCGTCTGAAGTTAATATTGTGGTAACAGCACTGAGTCATCTACAAACTGTGTGAGTTTGGTCTTTCCTGCTACGTATAGTAAAGGTGTAAGGACTTGCCAAAGTTGGTATTTGAGAAAAGATGGATTTTGGCAATTTCACC